CAACCCTCCCCCTTTGGCATCCCAGCCCCGCACTTCCCGCTTACCTGAAAGCAAGCAGCTGCCAAACGCACGCGGGTGGAACCTACTTACAGACGCACAGCGCCTGCCATGTTTCATCCATTGTACGGGCAAGGCCGGCAGGGAGCACGCTCAGTGAGGCTTTGAAGCTGAAATCGAGTGAGGGCAACTCCATTTACACGGACGCATGCTCAGTCGCATTCTGAAGCCGAATAGATTGAGGGCGCCCCGCTAAAATAAAGCGCGCATGCTCAGAGGAATTCTAATCCTGCCGTAATTCCAAGGAGGGTAGTACAGTACAGTAATTACCAAACGCGCAGGCGATGTGTTTCTTTGGGTTCTAATTCGTTAGAGCTTGCTCTCGAAGACGTCTTTGCATCTTTTATTTATTTATTGTATTTATACCCCGCCTATCTAGTCATTTCGACCACTCTAGGCGGCTCTATGTACACAGGCCGTAACGACTTACTGCATTGCACTGGATAAAACGTAATCTTAGATAAGGGGCAATACAAGTGACTAGACGAATTTTTGTTAAACTGTTAAGCTGAAGACAGGCAATAGCAAACGTAGTATAGCCTATCGTTTTGTGTTTACAGAGATAATAAATGAACAAGGAGATGATTTGTTGTTTAGTTGTTAAGTTCTGTCCGACTCTTCGTGACCCCATGGACCAGAGCACACCAGGCCCTCCTATCTTCCACTGCCTCCCAAAGTTGGGTCAAATTCATGTTGGTAGCTTCAGTGACACTGACCATCTCGTCCTCTGACGTCCCCTTCTCCTCTTGCTTTCACACTTTCCCAATATCAGGGTCTTTTCCAGGGAGTCTTCTCTTCTCATGAGATGGCCAAAGTATTGGAGCCTCAGCTTCAGGATCTGTCCTTCCAGCGAGCACTCAGGCTTGATTTCCTTCAGAACAGATAGATTTGTTCTCGTTGCAGTCCAGGGAACTCTCAAGAGTCTCCTCCAGCATCACAATTTAAAAGCATCAATTCTTTGGCAGTCAGCCTTCTTTATGTTCCAGCTCTCACTTCCATACATTGGTACTGGAAAAACCCTAGCATTGACTATGCAGACCTTTGTTGGTAAGGCGATGTCTCTGCTTTTTAAAATGCTGTCTAGGTTTGTCATCGTTTTCCTCCCAAGAAGCAGGTGTCTTTTAATTTTGTGGCTGCTGTCACCATCTGCAGTGATCATGGGGCCCAAGAAAGTAATATCTGTCACTGCCTCCATATTTTCCTTTTCTATTTCCCAGGAGGTGATGCGACCAGTGGTGTTGAGCTTCGGACCATTTTTTTCCTGCTCTTCTCTTTGACCCTCATTAAGAGGTCCCAAACCGTTTAGGGCTTTATATGTAATCATTAATACTTTGAAGTTAACGTGGAAACGGATGGGCAACCAGTGCAAGGCAGCCAGAGTGGGGGAGATACGCGGATATTTTCTCACCCCACTAAGAAGCCTGGCTCTGTGTTCTTTGCTGAAGCCCACACTCCTTTACCCAATATTTCTTTAAAAAAATGTTTTCAGCACACCATGAGAACTGAGGCACTTTTTAAAATAATTTGGTCATAGCACATAACTAGTTTACTCAGTGTAATATTAAGTGTTATTAAGTGTTGAATATGAAATACAGTACAAAACTTTTTGTTGATGCAAACAAATGCACCACAAGAGGCAGGTATCAATAAGGGTTTTTTGGGGGAGGTGCTCTAAGGATTGCAGAAAAGGAGGGAAATTCTATTAAAATAAATATAGAAAGAAAAATAGATTCTCAAAATAGGCCAGTGGAGACTGGCCATGGTTCAGAATGATCTGCCTAGCTCATCTATCAAGATCTCAGTAATATATGATAGACTGGCCCTCTCATGCACAGTTGAATCATGCATGAATATTATCCCACTGCTGATGAACGTGGCATGTAATTACATCACCACAAGATTAGACGGTTCAGTAAATGAAACTGACAAGTACACAAGCAAAGGGGGCAGAAGGGAATTGTTTTTAAACCTTGGTAGGCCTCCCTCCATTTTGATGTCCTAACCCTCTCCTTCTGAGATACAGTAGATCTTCTTTTCCTAGGTTGTATGACTTTACTTCTCTTGGCTTGCAAATTAGAATTATTCAGCCATATCTTGACCACATCCAAACAACGCGTACACAAGGTACATACAAGTTCTCTCAAAGTCTCTCTCATCTCCCCAAACAAACCAAATAATGGCCACCATGACATCAAACTCACTTGACATACATCGCTTTCAAATAGCTCCCTCCTGAGGCAAGAAACAATAAAATAAAACTTGTTATATTCACAGCATATGTTTATTTAGCTGTGGATTCTTGCTTCAGCAAAGGATTTGGCTTAGGTGAATTAAGGCCTGAATGTTTTCCCTCCTTTTACTGTGCTTTTCTTATGCAACCACCTTGCTTCCAACATGGAATTTTACAGGTGCACCAAAGACTGTTTTGTTACATTATAAACCTTTCATGTTTTCTCACTGCTTTGTCCATCCTGTGTCTTACCAGAAAACAAAGGCACGCAGGGGGAAATGACAGAGCAATCATTCACAATTAATTTGAGTTGGTAGTACTAGTAACTGTGCATCCAGAACCACACACTGTTCCATCTTTGCCTAGGAGCGATTCCAAGACTACGCTGGGGCACACCGTGGTGCCTGAGAAGGACCAATGTTTGTCTTGAAACATTAAGCCCCCATGCATCTATCAAAACTCAACATCTATCAGAAACTGTACAATGCTTGTTGCTCTGCCAGTATATGAAAATTACCATGATCCTAAGGGAGACATTAAGGACTCATCAGATATAGTCACCACTAAGCCTCAGCAATAAACAGCAGATGAATCCCAGAAACTTCAGCCCTGCCTAGAAAGTGCTGCAGAATTTCGAATTTCAGGTTCCACTTTTCTAGCTGCACAGCAGAATTGCCGGGATTCACAGAGCGGAACAGCTTCAAGATCCTAAGAGTATACCACCTTTTTTCTCATCAACGAGCACTTATAATCTGAATAACTCAATCTGAGATAACTGAAGCAGAAAGAATAAAAATTATTTTTATAATTGAAGAGATCAAACAGCCAAGAAGCAAAATATGACTGCCTGCAACAGACCTCAACAGACGAACTGCTTCCAACAGACTAAAAGCAAAAGAAGCGCAGAGCAGAGAGGTGGGGGCTGTCTTTGAACTCATAGGCTGAACTATTGCTTCCTTCTGGATTGACTGATAGTCATCCTAACACAGAAAGGTCCCTCCTAGCCACATCTACTAGAGGTAGCATGCGAGATTGCAATAACACCAACAGAAAGTACAATCCTACATGTAAGTAGGAAGAGGCGGATGTCTGTGTTATATATAGGTGGAAATAGTTTGAAATGTTCCATTACTTCCTGGCAGTCAAGCTGCTGTTATAGTTGCTCTGGTAACCGCCTGTGCCACACCTTATTAATACATCTTAAGTTGCCAGAACTACATAAAAATATTGAGAAATGCTCTCTGGTTCCCTTTGGTATCTAATTCTGATTTTATTTATTTATTTAT